TGTGTGTGTGTGTGTGTGTGTGTGTGTGTGTGTGTGTGTGTGTGTGTGTTGCTTCTTTTCGTTTTGGTCATGGAGTTTTCTTCAACTTTCCCTTCTAATCCTTATATTGAAAACTTCTTTTAAGTTTCCAGGGACTCTTTTTTCTTCATATGTTTTCCCTTGATGTGTTGTAATATCTTTTGAATTTTCCTAAGTGACATTATTGATAGTTTCATGAATGTATTCTTTCTCTACATGATTAGTTTTTTCCAACTTGCTTTTAAAAAATCTATTGTGGCTTTGTATTTCATGACACAGGCTTTCCTGCGATACCAGGTCAGCTCTGCCTGCCTGCTCAGATTTGCCTGGGAAGGCCTGAGACTGATTAGAAGTTTTATGCACAAGAGCAGCACCATTTACTGTGGCCATCCCTATAGAGAGAGCAAACTGTTTACTTTGGCAACTGCAGATATCAGAACATTTAGGTGTTTCTCCTTGGTCTTATTTGGTTCTGACAGTCTTAAGATTCTTCACTGTTCAAACACATCTTGATCTACTTATCTTGGCTGCTCCGCTTCTGCTGTTTCTGTCAAAATCCTACCTAGAAAGAAAACTATGAACCCATTGCTATAGTGAGTTGTTCTCCAGGGAACATAACTGGACTCATCTTGAAGACAGTTCCACCTGGGTTTAGGACAAAGGAGACCAGGCTTGAGGCTCTAACAATCACCAAATGTTTGATGATTGGTTGGACTGAGAAAGCAAGGGACTGAGATTTATATCTAGAATGACACCAGGCACAGCTGAGACTCTCTGGGAAGACGCACCTATGGAAAACCTTTGGTTGGGGGCAGTCATAACCAAGATCCTTTAACTCAGCCCATGACCCTCTCCCTTCATTTAAGGCAATAGTAGCCTAGAGTATAATAGCCCAACAACTACAAGTTCTTCTGTACCCCTGTAGATAGCACTTGAAAGACTGGGCAAAATTCCACTGACTGGAGAGGGACAGGGAAGGGAAGTGTGGCTTCATTAGGCTCCTTCCTAATGAAGAAGTGACTGAGACATGTGGTGAAAATAGAGGAACATTCTGAATCATTACTTGGTCAGGAAACAAATCTCTTAAATGTCATCAACACAATCTGCCTGGTAGGAAGATGACTACTTTCTGCCAAAAAGAGACCCTCCTCCAGGGACTTAAGCCAGCTTAACAAGCTTTGTAGTCTCCCCAGAGGGCAGAACTCAAGTCAGTGAGAGGGAATTTCAGGGTTTTGTTACAGATACCCAAACACTCAAATGTTGACACAAATTTACAGTTCACCACAACATGTAAACCAGAATGGCTTAGTTTCCCCCTTGGCTACCTGGCAATTGAGGTCTTTCCTACGTATGCTCCAAATTAACTCTGGGAAAACGAACCTTGCCATCGCCCTTAATTCCCAGCTTCTCTATTCTGGTCCACTGGGGCCAAATGCCTGAGTGGTCCTCACTTTCCCGACTTCTGTTGAAATTCAGCTCGGGTGTCTGACTTGTTCCAAGGCCATTTAGCCCAACAAACGAGTGGTTGCAGACTTTTGAGTTCAATGCTTCCAGTTTTGGGCCAGGAGCTGCCTCACCAGAGTCTGGTGAGGGCGAAGCTGTGAGGGGTGTATTAAAGTCGTTCCCAAGGCAGGAAGTTATGCACCAGTCTCTTCGCTGATGGCCCAAGACTTGGAGTTTGAGGGTGGGGAGCGCCTGCGATGGAAGTCAAGGGCAAGTTGGTCCAGACCCCGCAGGGACTAAGCCCAGCATTTCCTTCAGGCGGCCCAGTGGAAGGGTGGGGCGGGGTGGGCGGGGTCCTCGCAGCTGGTGGCTTTTGAAGCCTTCCCGACTGCGGTGGGAGAGGGGCAGCCTAGAGAAGTTGGCAGCGGGCCTGGGACGGAAGGGGGAGGAAGGGGCCCCACGTTCCCTGTACAGCAGCACCCGCTGCCCGGGCACGTAGTTCACTCCTATAAGCACAGGCCACGGTGGGCACATCACTTGGCGGCCAGATTAATCGCCAGACCAGAGCCAGTCCTGAGCCAGTTTAGCCGGGCTGAAAGGCAGCAGGGCGGCACCCTGTGTCCCCGGCTCCCGGAATGAGTCGGGGGAACGCCTGGCCCTCCCGTGTGAAAAGTCCAGTTCTATTCGTGTCCTTGCTCTGGCCAGTGCTGAGCTGAAGTGCAACAGAGAAAGAGCGAGGAGGTGGCCAGCGGCCTGAAGTTCTAGGCGCGGCTACCTGGGAAACCGGCAGCAGTGGGGCGCAGCGCGACCGAGTTCCGCCCCTAGGCGAGGGCGGCAGCTCAGCGCCCGGCCTCAATGGACACGCCTCCTTGCCAGCGCCCCTCACGGGAAGGACTGGAGGGACAAAGGGGTGTGCTCCAGAGCGATCCCTTCTACCGCGGGGCTTAAGGTTGTCATCGCACAAAAGCTCTGGCAGGGAAAAGCCGGCCGGGTTCCCCGCTGAGGCGGGTACAGACAGCGGCCCCGCGCGGTTACACCCAGACCCGCCATCCTCGAACGTCGTGCGTCAGCGTGCCCCTCACCCGGCTCTAATTTCCGCCCCTCCTCCCGCCGGCCAAGGAGGCACGCGCATTGGCGCGCGCAGGGCCTGCGGCCGAGTAAGCCCCTCTAGAAGCCCGGATTGGCCTGACCCGGTATTCTTCAGCCAATGGCGTCCAGCCCTGCCTTAGGCCACGCCCCCTCCCCAGACGCGAGCGCGCGACCGCTCGGCCCCGCCGGTGCGCGCCCCAGGCTCCCCGCCCCCTCCGCGCGCGCAGCTCCCTGCGGCCGCTGCCGCCTGTAACCTGCGCCGCCAGGATGTGGCTGGGGGCTGACGTCGGGTCCAGATGTGGCCCCAGCCCCGCCCACCCCCGAGGCCGGGCCGCCCACACCGAGCTGCGGCGCGCACGGCGGCTGTCCCGCCTGCCACAATGCGCGGCGAAGCTGTGCCCGCGACTTGACGCGGTCGTCCCTAACATCGCCACTCGACATCCTTAGGACAGGCCGCCCCTGACGCCGCGCTGGGACCCTACTCGCCCACGCCCCCCATGCGCTCACTCCCCGGTGCCGGGTCGGGCGGACGCGGAGCCGCGCGGGTGACGGCAGAGGCGGCTGCGCGCCCAGCCTAGCCCAGCCCAGCCGGAGGAGAGGGCGCGCCGCGCCCCCGCCCCCCGCCTGCTCTCCGGAGGCCGTGGGTGCGGATGCGCGGCTGACGACTCGTAGAGACTAGCACTGCCGCCCGCCCGCCGGCCGGAGCCCGCAGCATGGCAGCCGCCGCCTATGTGGACCACTTCGCCGCCGAGTGCCTCGTGTCCATGTCCAGCCGCGCAGTCGTGCACGGACCGCGGGAGGGGCCGGAGTCCCGGCCCGAGGGCGCGGCCGCCGCCGCCACCCCCGCACTGCCCCGCGTTGAGGAGCGCCGCGACGGCAAGGACAGCGCCTCGCTCTTCGTGGTGGCGCGGATCCTAGCGGACCTCAACCAACAAGCGCCAGCGCCCGCCCCAGCGGAGCGCAGAGAGGGTGCTGCTGCCCGGAAGGCGAGGACCCCCTGCCGACTGCCGCCCGCGCCACCCGCGCCGCCGCCTGCTTCCGAACCCGTCTCCCCCGGCGGAGAAGGTGCGGCAGCCGCGCCCCCCAGCCCCGCTTGGAGCGAGCCCGAGGCGGGACTAGATCCCGAGCGGGAGCCAGGACCCGCGGGGAGCGGCGAGTCCGGCCTCAGACAAAGGGGCCGGCGGGGCCGAAGTCGCGCCGACCTCGAGTCCCCGCAGAGAAAGCACAAGTGCCACTACGCTGGCTGTGAGAAAGTTTATGGGAAATCTTCGCACCTCAAGGCGCACCTGAGAACTCACACAGGTCAGTGGGGCGGCCCGGCGCCCAGAGCGCGCGGACAGGGGACGGCGCGGGCGGTCCAACCACGCCCCCGGAGCTGCCCGCGGGGCGCGAGGGGAGGGCTGGGCGCGGGGAACGGTCGGGCGGAGGACGATCGGGGCCTCGCCCCTTCCCTCGCCTCTCAGTCCTGCGGCGGGCTTCGCGCGCCGCGTGAGGCGGTCTGGGTTCTTGGAGCCGGCGCCCGCCCGGGGACCGCGCCCCCGCCGGGCACGCCCCCTCCCAGGCTCTCTCGGGCGGGGCCACGGGGGTGGATGTCGTCATCTGGGCCGGGGGCGGCGACCCCGCCCAGGCCTGGGGGCGACGCGGGCAGGTGCGCACGGATTGGGTGGGGGCTATAGGCGTCGCTCTGGTGGAAGGGCAGCCGGGGCGCCTGGGAGCTGAGGGAGGGTAGTATTTTACTGGTCTTCGTACTCCCCTCCCCCGCCCACCGGGCACGCGCTGGGGAGGGGAAAGGGGACCGGCCCAGGCGCGCGTTGGGTGAAGTTCACGCGGGGACAGGGTTCCCCTTAGCCACTCGGCACATTCTTCGCTCTCCTCTTCCTGTAATTTTTCCAGCGTTCTAAGGTTTAATTTGTCGTAACCAGAGCCCGCGGCTGCACTGGCCGACGCGGGGGGCGGTCCCGGTTAGCTGTTCCCCGCCCGCGGCTCTTTGTGGGAGCACCCGCCCATCCGGCTAGCGGGGGCGCGCTGGGCCAGAGGGGGGTTACTCGGCCCCGCGACGCTTTCTCTGGAAAGAAGCGCCCTGCCCGCGGTCCGTCGGTCTGCGCCGCCTGTACCCAGCTCAGTTCTCACCTGCTGGTGACCGGGTGCGGCGGGCACGCGGCACCTGCCGGAGGACTGGAGGCCAGAGCCCGCAGCTGGGGGGGGGGTCCGCGAACGGCCTTTCGCCGCCACCTACCCCAGGGGAGTATTTCCCATCGCTCGGGCCTGCTACTTTGTAGTAGATTCCTCTGTGAAAGTTTGTTGTTTGTTTAACCCCCTTTTCGTTTCTTTGTAACACAAAGACAACCATTTAATGGATAGCAACTCCCTTCCCCCGGTTTGTTTTAAAGATTGTTTCCCTGAACTCACGTGAATTCCTCTGGCACTTAACTCTTCCATTTTTGAGGCAGGTTCACAGCTTGAATACTTAATACCGTTACCTTGTTACCAAGGGTTGTGCATTTTTTTATGTAGTTCACATGCTGATTAAACAGTAAAGCAAACAAAAACCCTGCGGTCTTCAAGACCCCAGAGCTGGAGGCCCTTTTCTCTTGGTATATTGGGAATTGAGCGGCCCGAGATCTGCAGGTGTAGGGGTTGGCGTACCTCTTAACGACTTCCCTTCGGAGACTGCGCTCCCGGTCCTAGCCCCTCGCTGCAGCCTTCCCCGAACCACGTGGTTGATTCTGCGGTGGAGGGTGAACGTGGAGCCTTTTCTAGGCATTCGGGTCAGAATTAATTGTGTGTGGGTCCGGGGTGGGGCGGGGCTCTCAGTTCAGCTTGGGAACGCAGCCACGACGGTGGGTGTGGCTGTGGGGGAGGGGCCAAACTAGGTTCTGAAAGCTGGGGACTCTAGAGGGAGGGATGGGAGCAACACTTGGGGCGTGGCGGTGGTTAAGGTCTACCCGAGGGGTGGGGTATGAGGCCAGTGCTGGGCGGGGAACTTAATGATTGGGAAATCCTGGAAATCCTTCTGCAGCCTCTTTTATCCGCGGCCTAAAACCCGGCAGCACCAGGTAGCTGGCTTTTTGACTAGCCCAGGGTGAAGGAGGGGTGGGCGGGGCGGTAAGGGCTTCAGCCCCGGGATGTTTTCCTGATAGGGTCGCCCCCTCTTCGGGTGAGCAGACGTCTAGGCTAGAGAGAGGTGTGGAGCCCGGAGTGCTGGGGACTTGCGTCTCCCGCAGTGGGATGAGGGCCCTTTCCTATAGTTTCTGGAAACGCAAGATTGGCAGAAGCAACCCTCTTTGAGTGCTTGCAACAAAGTCTATTCTTTAAAGGGGGGAACCCTCTCTGTACTTCATGTGTGCTGAGATCAGAGTGAGGCTCCACCTATAGGTGAATGCAGGCACCTGGACCCCTCATGAGGGCGGGAATTTGAAATAGCACAGATTCTAAGCCGCAGAAGCTGAACTACTTAGTACACCATAGCTGGAAACTGTATTTATTTAGTACCCCAGGTGAATGTGATTATGAGAGTTGCACATCCTAAGCACCTGACTGTGATGCAGGGCATCTCTGGGAAACCCAAGCCCCTGCTTGGGTGGGGGTACAGAGCATGCAATAACTGGCTTTCATAGGCATAGAAGGGGAGCTTGCTGGTGGAAGGAGACTGGTGTAGGACACATAAGGGAGAAGTCAGCAGGGATGGCCCCAGGGGGTGACTGAGTTGCCAGGTTTCCAGATAGACCCTGACTTAGAGGTGGTTGTGGTTTGGTTTGTGGGCCATCAGAAGTATTCTGGGGAGTCTCTGCAGGCAGTGGCTCAGGTCTTGCTGCATTTTCTACTTCATTAGGATCCTTCCTCCCAGGACCCATAGTGATTACATGGCAGGGTTGAATATTAAAACCACCTTAGCTAAGGAAGTAGGCAGCAGCTCTTTGATCAGGAAGGGGTTTCTAGACCTTGTGGCTTGGTGAGATCTATGCTTATCACCTGGAAAGTCCTTGGAGAAATAAGGTGGGGTGTGTGTGTGTGTGTGTGTGTGTGTATGAGAGAGAGAGAGAGAGAGAGAGAGAGAGAGAGAGAGAGAGAGAGAAACCCTGTGGGAATTGCAAGGGTCAGCCTTTATTTGTGGTGGTGGTGGTGGGGACCTGCCATCCTTATGCCAGGGCTTTGCTCTACTCTGCCCTCCCATCCTGACCCCTGAAGAGCTGCTTGCAAAGATTGCCCTTCTTAGTTAGCTGTGTGGGAGTGTTCTCTCCCTTTGCCACTTCCCTGATAGTCATCCTGTGGACCATTAACCCTCTGTCACATTTAGGTAATTGTTGATGTTAAAGCAAATGCATAGTAAAACAAACCTCTTTGCTGCTCAAACCACTTGTTTATGTAATTGGAACTTCTCAATCCAGATTTGGGAAATTTACTAAGTCTAACTTTGGGGAGTAGCAAGATGAGGTGCAGATTTTCTGGAGACTGAAGGGTTTTGGTGTGGAAAAGAGGACTTCCAGAAGATCAGGGCAGGCTGGGGCCCTCTTGAGAGCAAATAGTCCCTGTCTGAACCAGCTGTGTCCTGCATCTGGAGATTCCAGCTTATCTTCAGGTGGGGCCCAGTGGGCCGCTAGTAGAATGGCCACTCAGGCTTTCTTGGCAGCACTCTAAATACATTCCTACGTATTTGTTCCCATAAAGACTTGTTTTCCAAGGGACTCTGTGCCCTGTTTTCTCCCCAAGCACTGGGAGCCAAAATATCCCCTTGCATTCTGCCTAAACTGGGCCATTCAGGAGCTCTAGGGCTCCATAAGAAAAGTGGGTATGTGGGCCCAGCTGTTCACCTGCAGACCTTGAGTGATGCTTATGGTCACTGCCCTTGTTTGGGATTGGGATTCCCATAAGTAAGATTGTATTCTTTCAGCATTTCCAATAATCTTTAGTTTAAAATTTATCCTTGGGGCTGGGGATGTGGCTCAAGCGGTAGCGTGCTCGCCTGGCATGCATGTGGCCCGGGTTCGATCCTCAGCACCACATACAAACAAAGATGTTGTGTCCACCGAAAACTAAAAGATAAAATAAATATTAAAATTCTCTCTCTCTCTCTCTAAAGAAATGTTTTTTAAAAAAAATAAAATAAAATTTATCCTTACTCACTGAAGCAGGGATTGGATCCTGAGTGAGATTCTTGGGGCAGGGTTTTTTGGCCTCTTCTCCAAGTGCACTTTGGCCTTGGAGTCTGTTTCCAAACACACTGCTGGCTGTGTTTCTCACAGGTGCTCCCTGATGCAAGTGTCTGGTACAGCCTGTCAGAGTAAAGGGAGACTGTGTGGGATCTCCTTTACCCAGGCAAAACCAGGCTTATTAATGGCTACTGCTTTGTCCAGGGATGTGCCCAGGCCAGTGGCTCCTACCTCTGGCACCTCCACTGCCCCAGGCTTCAATCAGGCCTCCTTAGTGAAACTTCTCAAATAGTGCAGGAGCTGTGGAGAGAATGTTTGAGCCTGCTCCTTCCCCTACTAACCACCTCTACCCGATGCTGGTGCAGCCCCTTTCAGATCTTAATAGATTTACACATGTGTATCCACACAGATGTTTAAACACTAGAAAATAGTCTGCCCGAAACACTCTACTGCAGGTTATACATAGCTTTCATCCTGTTGATTACTTGGATCTTAGATGTAGCAAGTCAAAAGGAAAAGGATGAAATATATTGATAGCCACCCAAGGTAAGGGGAGAAACAAACCCAGTAAGTTACTAAGTTATGTGTGCTCATATGTGTGTGCATTTAACTTTATAACTGAAGAGACCCCACCAAACATAATTTCAGGACAAATGTGGGGCCCTGTCAAATATGTTGTTCCTTCTTTCAGTAGTCCCTGAAGCCTGCCTTAGCAACTCTGTAATAAGTGACATTTCTAACAGCGATTTTGAGATACCAGCACTCTGTAAAGTGTGTCTGGTTTGTGCTTTAAGAAGGCAGTTTAAAATTGTTCTTTAAAAAAAAAAAACCTTCTAGAATGGTCCACTCAGCATTCACAATCATATCTAAGACTTCCAGACTGCTTGGTAGTGGCAGATATTGTTCTGACTTCATTAGTTTATGAAGTTACTTAATCTTCAAAAGGGCCCTAGAAGGCAGACACTGTTATTATTACTAATTTTCAAATAAGGAAAATAAGGCTCAGATAGGTTAAGAAACATTCCCAAAGTCACACAGCAAGTGAGGGTGGAATTAGGGTTTGCATCTGGACAGCTGTGTGCCTAAGTTTCAGTGTGCCTACCATACCCTTTGCCACTGTCTCTGGACCTGCATTCCTGGTGATGCAGGTAA